CCAAGCCTTCCTGGTTCGAGCCTCTTGGTTGTTATCAGTAATGTTTAATCTTTGTCTGTATCGCATTCCAGACAAAATGTCGGTAAACAAGAAATGGGCGAACTAAAATGTCTCCTGTGTTTCACATGCGACATGATTATTAAAAAACACAGAGTTAAGCGATCATGTACGTTCTATAAAGCTAACCTTGTACACATAATCTTGTACTGACGTGTTTTTTCTCAAAAAAAGACGTTCTCTTTCAGTTAACCCCCAGTTAGCTCTTCGTGAGAGTTGAAAGATTTTTTGAACACATGACAAGTAACTATATTGATTTACGTACGTTACGTCATGTACGTTCTATAAAGCTAACCTTGTACACATAATCTTGTACTGACGTGTTTTTTCTCCAAAAAAGACGTTCTCTTTCAGTTAACCCCCAGTTAGCTCTTCGCGTTCATGGTATTTGTGAGAGTTGAAAGATTTTTTGAACACATGACAAGTAACTATATTGATTTACGTACGTTACGTCATGTACGTTCTATAAAGCTAACCTTGTACCACAGTCCCTCTGGACTGTGCTTGTACACATAATCTTGTACTGACGTGTTTTTTCTCCAAAAAAGACGTTCTCTTTCAGTTAACCCCCAGTTAGCTCTTCGCGTTCATGGTATTTGTGAGAGTTGAAAGATTTTTTGAACACATGACAAGTAACTATATTGACTTGCGTCAAGATGGGTGGCCCGAATTTAAATATCAGTGCGTGAACTCAAACGCGTGGTTATTAGAGTTCAGTCGAAATGTACGTGAATATTGCGATCGAAGTGCGCTGTCCAGAGTTTATTATATTATAGTAAAATTTAACTTGACGCATGGTATGGTTTATATTACATGTTCACTTCATTTCGAATAAAAAAATCACCATTGGAACATTGGTGAATCACAAGTATTTAAAATATTTTCTCGACTTTCCGTAGATACCCGACTACTATCATTTTTAATGATTTAAATGCGCCAATGTTTATGTTTGCGTAATTATTACGAATGTAACGCATTATCAAGTCGGTAATATTGAAATATTCACAGACCCAATACCCCGGGTCAGTGCCCTAACAATAGTAAAAATTAACTTGAGTTTGCGTAATTATCATGAAAGCAATACATTTAATACAAAGTTGAAATATTCAGAGCTGGTACAATATTGTAAACAAATTTGCGTAATTAGAAAAGCAGTGCACTAAGTAAACGACGTTGATATATTCAAAGCCAGTACAGAGTTGCATACAAGTTGCGTAATTACAGTACCGTCGGATATAATAAAAATTTTACTAGATCGACGCGCGGACCGCAAAAGAAAAAGGTTGCTAAGGTAACGCGCCAGTTCAGCGCGTGACTTGGGGTCAAACTTCGATCAACACACACTTGATGCCAGCATCACCGCGCAGCAAGTTTCGCAAAGAAGTACTTCAAGTTCAATTGCATCCCAAAATTATGTCGCTAATCACTCATTTGTCGCAGCGTGTGTTGTGTCATGTCCATGATGCACCCCGTTTCGAATTTGACTTGCTTTTCCTTCTTAGTGCATGTTCTTGTTCACGTAAAATTCGACCTCTCACCAATGTATTAAAACACTTTGAATTTATACTTTGCATGATTATATTTGGTCAACGCGAAACATTATTTTTTCTAGACCATTTCTATCAACGCAGGGTTATTTTTTTTAGACAAGATGGGCCTCGTAATATCTGCCAAAAGATCGCCATCTTTTGGTCCACATTTTTCTAAAAAAAAATCGAATCCTCCATAAGATCGCCCAGGGCGGAGTATCAGCCGAATCCGGTACCTATATATGTAATATCAAAGCAATTGAACTTGCGGTTTTTAACAAGAAGTCGAAAATATCACTTTTTACCAAAAATGACAAAAATATTCACCAAAATTAGAGAATTGAAGATATCATGAAATGAACAAATCTGAGAGAGGTCCACATGTAGTACCTATATATGTAATATCAAAGCAATTGGACTTGCGGTTTTTAACAAGAAGTCGAAAATATCACTTTTTACCAAAAATGACAAAAATATTCACCAAAATTAGAGAATTGAAGATATGATAATGAAATGAACATATATGAGAGAGGTCCACCCAAGGTACATATACACCAAGTATCAAAGCATTCAGGCTTGTAGTTTTCAAGAAGAAGTCGAAAAAGTAAAACATTGACACGGACGACGACGGACAATCACTCATATGATAAGCTCCGCTCGCCGACAGCGGAGCTAACAAGTATTACACATGGGACCAGTTTACATACATAAGCTTTAAAAACACAGAATGCTCTATTGAGGGAATTTATATACAATGTACACTAAATGTCCTGTTTTTGTGTTCGACTCATTTTCTCAAGTCTGAATAGTCCTAGGACTTCTAAAGGCATTCGTTCTAATAAATTGTTCAAGAACTTTTTATACATCAAAGATGTAACAATGACCAAGTTTGACTGTGCCAGGATGAAACTACAGTCAATCTGACCATGGAGGTCAAATTATCTGGCACTCCATTGGTCATTGGCTTATTTCATTTTATGGTGTTTCTGAATATTGGTGACCTGCTTCCAAGCTTGAATTGCTTTTATAATCACTACATCGATCCACTTGTCTTTGCAATGCACTCCCAGCTAGAATTGCCTTTATAATTACTATGTCAGTCAACACATGTATGAACTCTTGCACGATTTTTTTAGCTGACAGATTTTGAACAAATTCGACAGGCAGGTCATACCTGTTTGGTGTAGAACAAATTCTGCTCTGTCGTCGCGATGACACTCAAAGAAAGCTTAGAAAGAACTCCTGTGTGCTGAGTATTGGAGACACATTAAATATCAATTCTAAATTACATTATATAATCAAATTTGCACAATGGCCCAGAGCATCTATGCACAAAGTTTCATCAAAAACTGATGTGTGGTTATTGAGATATCAGTGGAACAGACTGACGGGGACATACACATACAGACTAACTGCAAAGACTCCCATTGTGTGCTTCGCACACAGGAGTCAAAAACCCATCTCATTCTGTTCAGCTATAGACTGGTCCATTCACGGCAATTTTATACGACTATTCCTTTATATCAAGTTTGTAGTACTTCTTGTGTTGACACAAAATTACCAGGATAGGTCGGCCACACCTCTTCAATTGCCACAATGTGGTGACAAATCTGGTAATGGAAGCACAAGTAGTAAGCTGCCAACAAGGCAGCTTTTGGTCCAATCTGTTATGCACATACTTTTTGAGCAAGTGTACACCTGATTTTTCTCTTGGACGTGTTCCACTTTCATATCACTGCACATAATGAATAAATAACAGATATAGCGCAGAATCAACCAGCTACAGCTGGGGAAGCCAAGCCACTTAGTGTTGGTGTAACATTACCGGTAATCATGCAAATTTTTTAAAAAGCAGGGACAAGAACCGAAATCTAATCAGGGGTTAATAAAGTATGTAAACCAAACTGAATTCCAATTCAAGTACTTAACAGTGGAACAAGATTTGACTTCCATCCACACAAGATTCGACTTCCATCCACACAAGATTCGGCTTCCATCCACTCAAGATTTGGCTTCCCTTGCGTACTCTGCAACACAGCGCTTACGAAGGGGGTTTATGTAATTGCTACAAAGCACATTGAAAAGTTAAACTTTATTTATTCAAAAAGATAAAAAGATACACTCAACAGATCTCTTGGATTCCACTTTTTAATTAGAAGACGTGAAGGAAAGTGTTCAGACATGAATACTGACAAATAAGATTTTTCAACTGCTTTAGTACATACACCGATACTGCCAGTTGACAAGTAACTGTAAAACTATACATGCAAGACTGAAATCCACAAAGCTAAACATAAACTACATACAAAAAGTAAATTAATAAACTCCACCGCGGCCGTTTTTTTTTCAATGCAGAACATTATCGGCGGATTCATCGACCAGATGAATGAAATGCACAATGAAATACAATCAGTTGAAGTCTATAAAACATGATTGTTACAAACACGAAACGATATTGAAAGCTGCAGAACTCCACTCCCTCATTTGACCATTTAAGTGATTAAATTATTGTGATGGATTACGCTTCTGCTTTCCCTAATAAGGGAGCTGCACAGGTTTATTACTAGTTTTATACACTATCCTTATGCAACGATATGCTGTTTAATATAGGGAGCTCCCCCACTGCTAACAAATACTTGCTTTCTTTAAGAACTAATTATAACTACATGGAGAGTATTTAAACTTCATAGAAATGTAAGATACCATAGTTACAATGAATCATGAAATGAAGTGAAGATGGGGGGGGGACAGGGCACGTGGGCAGACAGTTAGTCCTGGTCGCTTTTAGGACTAACAGATCTGGATTTTGGAGATTCTGATGGGGAACGAGACTTCTTCGACTTGCTACGACTATTAGATTTGCTGCGAGATCGGCTGCGAGATCGAGAACGAGACCTGGATCGTGATCGACTTATGGACCTTGACCGACTTCGAGATGGAGAGCGAGGAGACCTGTTATGAGAACACAATAGGATTAGGCAACAGCAATCATCAACTTAACAATCACAATATATACCACAACACATCGAGACACTCACCTTGAACGTCGTCTCTTTGGTCTGTCTTCAACTAGCCTTACTTTGCGACCATTGATTTCTGTCCCGTCAAGTTTGGACATGGCATTTTTCATATCAGAATACGTGGCAAATTCAACAACACTGAAAGAGTTATAAAAAGACAAAAACTTACATCGTTGAGAATACACAAAATAGAACGATCAAAGATGAATAAAAATAAGCAACTATTGAAATCCAACAACTAGTTGTCTAATTTTAAAAACAAAACCTTTACATATCTAGTTAATTTTCTCACAGAACTTGGCACGAGCATGTTATCTTAAACAGCTAACTAATAAATGACTTAAATTAGGTCAAAAAACATGCATAGTTAACAAGAATATGTACCCTTCATTTTTATGTTCTTTGTGGGCATCGGCATAGGTCACTTCTCCAGCTTGTCTCATGTAATCTTTCAGGTCCTATAACAAGTAAACAAGCACAAGTGAGACTCCAGAAGCATGATTTTCTTATTAGCAACAGCTACATCAAATAAACACAGGGCAGACAAAGAAAAACGCAACGTACAATGGCTTCAGAATATTTTTATTACACAAGACAAAGACACGTTATGGGGTCCATCTTCCAACATCAGACTTCTATTGGGGCGGGCTTGTCCTCACTCTCCTGGGTACAATATTGGTAATTTCAATGCTCCTCATTTTTCCTGGCACAGATCCTGTGCAAACTTGTAACTGGGTATCTGACAATCTGTTTATTTTCCACTTATTGCGCACACAAAAAATTAAAAAAAAAATCCAGGGCAGAAAGCATGTTAACAATGGTAGTGAAATAATGTAGGAAATGTATGGTGTGAATTTATGTTGCTGTGAATGTGTTCATGTGAGTAACATCAAATCGTGATTTTTCAAGATAAATGCAGAAAAAATCCAGTCAATACGCGATCCAAATAGTTTTCAATTTTATTTTACAGAACCCAGCTACAAGCATGCTGAGGAAAAGACACAAAATCGTAATCACAAAATTACCTTTGGTTCGACTGAAGGCACACATCTTTCATTCATGAGAATGGACCAGACCCTGAACAGCCAGAGTGACTAACTGATCAGACCTTTGGCACTTCAGTACCATTAAATGGGTGGATGGGTTGCTATACTGATCTCATCTAGGAAATTTAGCAGCCCTTCTCTCTTTTTCTCCCTCTCAATGGATTAGGATTTCAATAGCTGCTGCACCTCACAGCATACTGCTATAAGCTCTGCAAGCCATGGACCAATTTGGGTTTTGAACGAGTGGCCGAAAGTGATTTCTTGATCACCAATGGGATGCCTGGATGAAAGAGCAACAGCTGTCTGGGCAATAGACAAGCTGTAAACTTTGGTTGACGACAAAATAGAATTTCCATCATCAGAGCGAAACCTCTCAAGGATGCACACGAATCCCTGGCTATTGTCTTCTAAGGACCAATCTGGGACCAATGGATGGATGGATGGTGATGTGAAAATCACAGGTGCTCAGCCAACCAGCCTAGACAGACAGACCTCAGGTGGGGAGAATGTGTGCCCAAGCCTTTGATATAAAAGAGAATAGTCCCTGAGAAGAGACCCTGAAAGACACCCTCAGACATTAGCAGTCATCGCTCCGAGAGGCAGCATTAACTACAAAGGAGGATAACAAATTGCATGTGGTGAGTAAATAAACAATCAATGGGCAGACCAGTTCAAGTTACTATTTCAGAATCCAAACAACTGTTCATAATTTATAGCCAAGTGATTCAAATCTCCGTTACAGACTATACAGTGGTTATCACACTTTCCCAGACTGATACACTCAATAACAGTCATTCATTCATAACAGCAGTGTATCTTGAATCTAAACTAGCCTGCAACACAATCGCACTGTTGTCATTTTCAATTTCTCTGATAAACAAGTGATATTTTGAGCCCAGTAACACTTGAAGCATCAGAGAATTGTCAAGTATATTCTACTGCATCACACGTTCTACACCCCAAGTCTGTTTATTTTAAATAGCTTGAACTGATCTGATTAATGATAATTTACAAATAGTGACAAATGTCACGCATGACAAATTACCTGCCAACTACAACGACTGGATAGATTCTCAACAATCAGACGGTTGTCTGTACGTGTTGGTGGCCCGTACCTAAAACAGAATTGAAACAAAATGTATACTGAATTTATTTTCATGTTGTTCTAAATACCAGAGCAGCAACATTGCCAGCTAAGTTGCTTGCTGGTTTGCCATAAGTCAAGGTGGTTTGAACAAATAAGTTCTAATCATATAATGATCTTGAAACGTGCATAATAAACTGGTCAGCATCTCAACCAACAATGTTGCTGTTCAAAACAATATGGTGGTGACAGAAAACCTTTTATGACCAAAAGCTTCACTTCAAGATAACAAAGGACTATGTTTAATACATCTTGCACAAATTACCGCTAAGTTTGAACGATGGGCAGTCATAGTAGTCAAAGTTGGATACCGATTCATCATGGACATTTTACACTAAGCAATTATAGAGGAATGCTTGGTAGGTTTCAGCTTCTGGCAAAAAACTTAAGACCCAGATAATTGAAAATTTGCATTTGGTATACAACACTGGTTCCTAATTGGTTCTTGAATAAAACTTGTACAAGACTCACTTGTCTATTCCGCCTCCTCCGCCCCTCCTTCTGGGAGGTCCATAACCACCACCACGGTCACCTCTATAATCACGTTCACTACCTCTGTAACCACCGGAATCTCTATCTCTTCTGACAGGACCACGGGCATGTTCAATTATCACCCTAGGTGAAGAAAAACATTATTAAATATTAAGGATGAGTTTACACAAACTGTTTTTGAAAACAAACTGTTGACAAACCATGAATGTGGCTACGCATCAAACTTACCTTTCACCGCAAAGATCTTTGCCATTTAGTTCATAAACTGCATCATCAGCATCCCGGGGATCATCAAACTCCTGCAAGACATACATTTTTTTTTAGATATGCCATGTATTTACTTACAATTCTCTGGTAAAATAGTCAAAAGAATTCCAGGCCGTTTTTTTAAGGGCAGCATAAAGTTTTACAAAATTGAGAGAAAACTCACCACAAACCCAAAACCATTCTTCAAGTTGACTTCTCGCAAATGTCCAAATCCACGGAAGAACCTTTCCACGTCCCTCTCCCGAGTTTGGTAACTTAAGCGTCCAATATAAACCCTGGTACCCATTCTAGGAAAAATGAAATTAAATACAAATCAATTAATGTAGTTTTTGAATGATGTAAATTTAAATTAACTTGATGTATGAATTGCCAGAGTTCTGAGAATATTGAAATGACCATATGGATGAAAAAAAAATATTTTTTTAAAAATTGCTACAAATAACAAAACTAAATGATTAAGTAGAAAGTTGTCAATGTAATAGTACTATAAGGCTACAGTAAATCATGAAACCACAGATAAATTACAGTACTGTTTTTTGTAGGACTGTAAGCAAGTAAATATTACTAGGGTTCTCTCCCCCTAAACAAGAATTTTGTTTATCCAAATGCCATAACAAATGCCATAACACTTTATTCACTCATTCTCTCACGATTGAGTGTTGTGCTAAACATTGACCACACTGGACTGGTTATGAACCAGAGCTAGGTAACAAACCAGTTTTCCTTGCCATCTGGTTCATAACCAGTCTTGCGATTGGTGCATGACAAATTCTAAATAGGCTTTGCTTCCAACTGTGTCGGTAAATTTTTATATTTTTTTCGGTGTGATAGCTACAGCCTATTTCTGTACATGAGAAGAAAACAGACACCCAACCCGTGTCATACAGACTGGACGTGCAGTTGATTGCAGTTCTTGGGCTCCTTGTGCAGAAAGGTCAGAAAAAGGTCGAGCTTGAATCAAATGATCGCTAGAGCGTCTCGCAGATGCAGCATGAATTAGAGCTATAAAATACATCAAACACATGTGACACGCATTTCACATGTCACACTTGTAGTTTTAAATATCGAATACGAGACCAAAACATCGTTTGGGAGACGCTAATAGTTGACTTCAATCATTTCCAGGTCAGTTTCAATGGAGCCTGAGAAACCACGAGTTCAAAAGGGTTGATCTTGAAAAACAAATTATCAATACCTCACTTCAGAACAAATTAAAATGTTTTAAACAGACAAATGGCAAAATTGTTGGAAAATACTAACTCTGTTCGATGGACTGATCTTCGATCTCGTAGAAAACAAATTATTCAACTACTCCAACGAATGCCGCAAGTCCCAATGAACACAATATTCAATATGGCCGACAAACGTGTGTGCGGGGTTTCCCGAACTAAAATGCGTGGGCAATCACCAAACAGGGTACAAATTAGGTCGTGCTCATTTTGCATAGGGTGGGAGGGTCAGACCCAGAATAAAACAAAAGACTAATCGTAATTATTTTTTTAAACGTCAGAGTACACATTTGAGGGTTTTTCAGTCTATGGTAACCTCGTCACACCGTACAACAGTATTTTCTAAAAATGCATTGTACGTTCTTACCACATCGTTGTACAATTATTTATAACATTTCGGGATAAAATCATTGCTGGAATTTGCGAGTATACATAATCACAGTCCCTATATCACGTGGTAGAGGGACTGAGGCCGTATTTGATCTTTATCTATTTCTAGCGCACGTACATGGCATTAGTGAGTAATGGTCGAAATAACATTTATTTTGATGACCCAACTTACAATAAACGAGGAAATGTATTTGACAGAAACATACCAATAAAACCTTGAGTAATCATGAATGCCCAATAACAACAAAACAAAACAACAGTCAGGACAAACAAACTTATAGAAAGAAAACATATCAAGAATATAGAAAATAAATTTTGCCAAAATGCTAAGAATCATTACTTGAAACAATATTAAGAAATAAACCATGATCCACGCCAAAATCCTCCAACTTTGCAACATAGTTGTACATGACTGCAAGGAATCTAGATCTTTGTTCTTTCATTTGACAATAATTTCAATATAAAATGCAATGTATTGCGTTCATTGCGTTTATGGAGATTATCCTTCCAAATACCTTTATGTCTACCGAATTCAAAATTTGTAGATAAAGTTAAGCCACGGGTCATGCACACAAGTTTTGGATTCTTCATAGGCTGCATCAATGATATAATTGTACGATTTTTAACATACGGTATATTACTATCGTTTCAGTCATTCTTTGAACGATTATGTTTAACTAAATATTGCTACACTACAGCAAGTTATTATCAACATTGTCGGTAAATGTACAGCAATTGCTTCCAATGTTGTTGAAGTTGTTTTGGTACAATAAAGTTTGTTTTGATACATTTGCGACGCACCCAGACTTCTAGCCGCCGTCATTAGACCCACGACGCTTTTCCCTTTCAGCGTGACCTACACGCGATTTCCAGTAGTAAATTTGGATATTCTCTTATACAACCCCTTAATTCTGCCACACATTGCATATTGCCGTGAAATCTGGGGTAATACAAAAAACATATGCTACTCTACTTCAACCAATATATCTTACCAAAAAAAAATAGTACGCCTCATCACTTTCTCTGATTTGTATTCCCATGCTGCTTCTCTTCAGCCCGTTCTCTTTTCCAAAAACTAAGAATACTAGACATTTGTTTTCACTCTGCAAGTTACAGACCTGTTTATTTGTCTTTGATCTCAGCAATAAATATTTTGTACATGATATTTACAACTATTTGGACCCATTGTCTCATGATTATCAAACCCGTTTAGCATATAGCTTGAATTATTATACTCCAAAACTGAATCTTACACTCAACCACCACAGTCTAAAATACTCTGCAACAAAACATTGGAACTCATTGCCTGATGCATTTAAAACCATCACTAAGAGACATATATTTAAAGCAAAATTAAAAAACTATCTCTTAAAAATTTGATTTGTAATATTTTTTCTCTTTCTTTCTTTATTTGGAGATTTGTGTGATTAAACTATGAAATTATATATACATGGGTTACGGACTCGACTAATTCTGATGACCAATATCTGTAATCCCCGCCAAAAAAGGGAAAGTTCTCTAAATAGATTTCGTTATTTATTTATTTATATTTACAAATGTACTACCTGTACACTTTCTACCTTTAATGTTGTTTTGTTTTTGGTGAAATAAATTTCATTCATTCAAATCCTCTAAAACTGTCATGTGTACTACGCATTTGTCATATCAGTATTCCTTCCATGACTAGATTAGTGGACTTCAGAAATGCTTTGTTATTTAATAGTCTGTGCTGCATTCGCTCTATCTATAGTAAAAAGGGACTGTATATACATTGTGTATATAGGAATGCTATTCACGTACTAATAATAATAACCTTTATTGATATCGTATCCACTGTGGGATTTTACTAACATACAATAAAGACACACATTTAAGTACAATATAAAATACATAAAGAATAATCAAATAAAAATAAAATAGTAATAGTCTTTAAATAACCTTATAAAACAGGAGAAAATACAGTATAAATATTTTTGATATTAATTTGAGGCAGCTGGTAAATTGCTTTTCATGAAGTTTTCTTATTTAGTAAAACAGTCGCTGATGAAATTGTCAATTGCTTGGACAGATTTTGAATTTTTGTTATTGAGAAATGCTTTCAGATTACCGGATAAATTTACGTTTTCAAACAAAGCATCTCTTTCAGTGTATGACGTACCCGGGATGACGTATAACTGAAGACATTTTTGTATTAACATCATCGTCTCCAATTATTTTGAATTCTGAAGTTATCTTGATTTTTTGTGTACTCCATTCGCATAAATGTATGAATGGGGTGGGGGTCTGATTTAGCACCTCCATCCTGAGGCAAAATGACGTCACTCACAGTCACGGTTGAAAAATGAGGTAGTGACACTAAATCTGGAGTATGTGTAATATGCCCAATAGAGGGCGTACTTCCATTGAAATGACAAAAAGATCACCGACTTTTTCGGCTCTTCTTTTTTTTTTTCATTTATCACATAGTTTCCTGTCTCATTATTTTCGGTTGTGTGCAGCTTCTTAGCTCGGACCATTTCTGGCATGACAATCAATGCAATTACATACAGAAACATTATTCTCAAAGAAAAATAAACTGGTGATAAACTGGTTTATTCTTAAATCTGCACTTCAGAAGTTACATTTCTATTATTTTTTAACCATGGAGAACTATATTTATAATATAATTTTGTAAAAACAATTTCATTATTATGTGTAAAAATGCTCCATTTTCAGAAATCCGACTTGTGTGTAAAGTTTTACTCAAATAATTGTATTTTGTGCTGAAAAAATAAAAAGATACCACTCTACAAAAAAAAAACAAAAAAACAAAAAAAAACACGGTCACCCACATCGCGTACTTTTCTCGCAGGTTCAAACCTGTATGGGCCACTTTGTCCCTGGCACTCTAAAACAAAATCGTGACATCTCTCGTTGTCATCATATTCCTCGATGTCATAATTCTCGTCAGACGATGATAAGATAGATTCCGTGTCGCTTTCCGAGCACTGCATGCGTATAGCGGCCATTGTGAAACGATGACAAGTTCCCTCCGTGACGTCACAAATCACCCTTGCATGCTAATTAGGTTCTCTAGCTGAAGCCTCGTTCTGAGTCGGCC